CCATAAAATGTCTCTGGTATATAGTTCGTTGTTGTTATCTTAAAATGTGAAATTTTTTTTAAAGATTTATTTATTTGTGCATACAGAGCTGAGCTGGGGTACAGGCCAGAGGCTCAGGGTGGTGAGAGGCTTCACCAGAGACAGAGTGGGGAGCAGAACAGGCAGATCGACGAAGTACACTGCTGAGGGGAGCAGCGGGCGGGTCAGGAGAGGTCTGCCACACTATGTGGTCACCTCCGGGGCAGGCGGGAATCGAACTCATGCAGAAGTGGCTTTAGCTTTTTAGTGCTGTGCTTTAACCCACTGCACCACCAGGGAGGGCCTAAAATATGAATTTTTAAAAAGATTTATTTATTTATGCAGTACAGGCCAGAGGCACAGGGAGGCACAGGGGCAATGAGAGGCTTCACCAGAGACAGAGTGGGGAGCAGAACAGGCAGATAGACGAAGTACACTGCTGAGGGGAGCAGTGAGGAGACAGGAGTGGGCTACTGTGTCATGTGGGTCACCTCTGGGACTGGGGATCGAACTCACACTGAAGCAGCTGGCTCACCTGCAGTGTTGCGCTTTAATCCACCACACCACCAGAGAAGGCCTCAACTCTGAATTTATGGAACAATTGAATAAATAGCAATAGGACACTTTGGATGATTTCAAAAAATGAATCAGATAATCAGTGAGATCTCTCAATACAAATGGATACACAAAGAGCTCTAGAGTGACCTGACGATGTGCAGCGGGCTATCTGGGTTAGTGGAACTCCAGGCATTGGATCTTGATCCAAGAGAATTAGAGTAGAAATGCCAGTTCCATGAGGCAGTGCTCTCAGGAAACGGTAGTCCTCCTTTCTTACAGCTTTCACATGATGACCTACACAGGGCATATTTAGGTCCCAGAAATCTAATTGAAATGAGTGAACTGAAGTGAATGCATCATTCTGAAAGAACAGGGAAAGTTGTAAAAACAACCTGATTGTTTTTCACTGGCACTTCATTTACAAAAGCACACAATTACAGGAAGTCCCCTTTGCCCGAGGACATGAACACATCATGAGCATGTTTCTCAGGAGATTTTATGATTGAATAAATGTTTAAAATCATGGTATCATACTCCCCTCAAGTTTAATCATAAAAGTTTGAATGTTTGTGTGAGCTGAAGCCATGAAAGTCGAGAAAGCCCACTGTGATGGGGATGCACTGTCTGTCTCTGTGGCACTGTCTCCTGCGCCTGCCTTTTGGGCCCCGGACCCCGCTTCTGCTTCGTTTCTTGAGTGATAATTTCCTGGGCAACAAGCCAGAAGACCCCTGGCCTGGCTCACAGTCTGCGCCGAGTCTTCCCTACCCCGTTTGGTTCTGGTGGGTTTGCTGGCCCATCCCAGAGCTATACATCTGAGGGATTGACGCCTCCATTGCCCCAGTAGGAGAGCGTGTGGCTGTGTGACATGCCCACGAGGGAGGGCCCTATCCAGGTTGGGTGCCCACCTTGTGCCCTGAACTGCCAAGACAGGCTCTGACCACTTGAGGATAAACGGGTTGGAATTAAACCCCCCAGTTGGATACAATTTATTGTTTAACATTTGCTGGTAGGCCTATTTGTGCCCAGAAGTATGCCCTTGTGCCTTAACTATCATGTAGCAGAGCTTGTGGCAAAATTGGTTTTGTCCCAGACGACCCTTCAGTGAGGACTTACTGTACAGGGTGTTTCTGAATTCGAAGTGCTAATGTAGGCTGAGGTTGGGTTCTGCTTTCGGACTCTGGTTTCTGCTTTCCTTGTCTAGGAAAGGTGGTGCCAGGTTGCATGGGCTTGTAGGAAGGTCCCACCTGAGAGATGCCGTAGGTGACCCTCCCCGCTGCAGGGAGGGGCGAGGCTGGTGAAGGACGATGGGCGGCACCCTCACAATTGCGTTAGCTTCTACAGAAAGAAGGGGGCCAGCCGATGCCACTGAGCTTCCTAAATCGGTTGCTTTTAAGGTCATCAGAAGGGAGATTGGCCTTGGCCTGGGTGGGTATGACCTAATCAGGTGAGCCCTCCACTGGCCTGAGGCCCTCCTGAAAGAGGAGGTTGGAAGTAGGAAGTGCAATGGAGGGATCACATGTGGAGCGGCACAGAGCAGAGACCTGGCGTTGGCTGCTAGCAGCGGAGAGGAGCCCCCTGCTTGACAGTCAGAAATGGGGAACCTCTGTCTCACGGTCCAGGCAAGGAGTTCTGCCAGGGCCCAGAAGTGGACCTTCCTCCAGTTGTGCCCTGAGCAAGGAATGCAGTCACTGACATCTTGATTTCAGCCTCATGACACCTGTAGCAGAGGACCCGCCATGTAGACTGCTGGATAATTCCAGATGCTGTTTGCGGCGATTTTGTTACATGGCCACAGAGAACCTGTGTGTTCTGGCTTTGTAAAACACGATTCGCGGCCCTCCCTGGTGGCGCAGCGGGTTAAAGCACAGCTCTGAGAATCTAAAGCCGCTTCCGCATGAGTTCGATTCCCGCCTGCCCTGGAGGTGACCACATGGCGTGGCAGACCTCTCCTGACCCGCCCGCTGCTCCCCTCAGCAGTGTACTTCGTCGATCTGCCTGTTCTGTTCCCCACTCTGTCTCTGGTGAAGCCTCTCGCTGCCCCTGAGCCTCTGGCCTGTACCCCAGTTCTGTATGCACAAATAAATAAATCTTTAAAAAAAAAAACAAAAAAACAAAAAAAAAAACACGATTCGCTGAGGTCGCTAGACTGTGGCTGAGACAACTAGCATCACCCCCAACGAGATTCCCTTCTGCAGTGCTGGCTGCACCCTCACAGGAGCCTGATGGGCCCCTGCACCAAAACCCGCTTTTAACGTGAATTGTACAGGGACCCGCTGGCCTTTTCCTAAGAAAGGTCTGTCGTTGTCTTCGATTGCTGAGAACCCTGATTTTCTAGCTGAGGAAGTCTAGGGTGGCTATTACTTTGTCACCTGTGCTTCTCCTTAAATATTCTATCATCTCTTCACTTCCTGCTCTTAGGTGAAGGTCAAGCTCTCAGAACTGTCCACTCAGTACTTTCAACTATTATCAGCCGTGGCACTTCTGGGTGGTTCTAACAGACAAGCATGGATCTGGGAGATGTGTCCAACTCTTGCATTTGAAGCCAGCCAGCTCTGTGACCTTGGGAAAAAGAATTCTCTTTTCCTTATCTGTATGCACAAGGTTTGTTGCCCTAGAGACTTGAAAATGTGCACAGAACTTCCCCCATGGGTCACGGAGATGTGGATTTATATTCTTGCCAGTTAAACTGGTTGTCTCAAATATTTAAAAAATATTTATTTATTTATGCATACAGAATTGGGGTACAGGCCAGAGGTGCAGGGGCGGTGAGAGGATTCACCAGAGACAGAGTGGGGAGCAGAACAGGCAGATTAACTGAAACACAGTTGAGGGGCGCAGTGGGCGGGTCAGGAGAGGTCTGCCACACAACGTGGTCACCTCCGGAGCTGGGGATTGAACTTGTACTGACGTGGCTTTAGCTTCGGCTTCCTAGTGCTGTGCTTTAACCTGCTGTGCCACCAGGGAGGGCCCAGTCTCAAATATTTTGACATGTGAAAGTGATGGATCTTACTTTGCATGGCACGGGACATAGTGTAGGGACACAGGATCTCAGTAAGGACAATTTAGAGGAAGATGTTAAAGGCACTGTTTTTACTGAGCTCTTACAGATGAAAGAGAAACTGTCATGGCTGGAGTTTTGCAACATCAGTTTCCTGTGTGTGTGTGTCTGGTTTGAAGGGTTGTGGGTGTGGCAGCAGAAGGAAACGAGGAGCAGTTTGCTCAGACTGGAAGCTCTGCTTCATCCCAGAACTCAAGGCAGCCGAGTAGCACTGCTGTCTAGGTATGTCCGGTGTGGGTTCCAGAGTTGAGATGCCCAGGTGCCTGGGAGCCAGGTGTCTGGGGAGTGGGGGGCGCCCCATAACCTACATGGTTCTAGTGCCGGGTTCCTCCCAGGAGCCCTGAGCTGTGACTGCTGTCCCAGGGCTGTCTAGGCAAACGGCCACAGCCTGACCTGAGGCCACACCACGCAGGTCATGGTGTACAGCTGCATTGTGCGAACCTTGAAGCCTGTCCTTATAAAATGCAGAATGGGTCCAAAAGAAAGAAATGTGCTCTTGAAAAGGTCAGAGTCAGCCTGAACATCGATTTTAAGATGCTTTATCAATTAGAGACCAGAGGTTTTCCTGATGATATTTATTTCATAAATGTAATTATTTTTCTAAACATATTAAAATAGAAAACATGTTCTTTTGATCAATTTATACAAAGAAAATACGAATCTAGTAATAGAGTACTGAAAATATATGAAAAGCACCAGAACATTAGAGAAATTACACTGGCAACAATTCTAGTATATATATTTTTTGCAATTGTACAATAAAGTGCTATTAAATCCAGTCAAAATTAGTGGCAAGATACAAAAAACTATGGTATGAAGTTGGAGCAAACACATTTTTAGGCTGCTTGCAGATCAACCTAGTATCTCATTGATGTTTTCATGGAAAAATCTTAATTTCCATTGCTAAGTGAAAACAATCTAAATATTGGTCCTTGGTAGTTTGGTCATGAACAGGTCATGATGTGGTTAAAAATACTTTTAGTACTGTAAAATCCTCAGTACTATTTTGACAGTAGTCAGCGTACACATGTGATAAAATCAAGTAAAGACAGAATAAAATCAAGTGTGATTATATCATTAACCAAAGGCAAATGTAAAGTTTGGATGCTTCTGAGAGTTAAGCTTTTAGTATTTCTGCGTGGTCACACTTAGCAGACACACAGACATTAACAAGATACGATGTTTAATTCAACTGGCCAGACACCAAGGAAGGACAGCTTAGTGCGCAGACATAGTCTCACATGAAACATTAAAGGGACACTGTTAGGACAACACATGGCCAAACTTGACTAGTTATTTCCTCATTTATTGGCTGAGGAACAAAACATCTCCTTTGGGGTGAGCTGACGAGATGATACTAGAGCCAGCGTGGAGCATATAGGACCGCCGTGCGCAATAGGAGTTACTAGGGCAGGGCTCAGGGTGCGCTGCAGTCTCTCTCCCGTCTGGGGCTGGCAAACTGAAACAGAAAAACCCAAAGTAAGACAGAGTAGCAGACCAGTGTCCTTTTAAGGCTTTATGTCCTAGGCCAGTTTTGAAGGGATGCTGCTGAATATTCTTCACAACTCAGGTTTCGAATCATCAACTTTAAAGATGAGAGCCACCAACACTACACTCAAGGATAATAAAAAAATCTCCAAACAGCTCAATCAAAACTCAGAATTTATTTTACAGCCAGACTGTTTTCCTTTCAGAAAAGTAGGTTTACATGTGAACCAGCATGGATGGGCTGAAACTGTTCATGGCAATAAGAAAACACGAGTTGCCGTTGCCTGTGGTCCTGCACAGTGTATCACTTTAGGAGTGGAGGAAGCATCCTCAGGGCTATTTTGACAAAGGCAGAGAGAGTGTCCAGCGAGACAAGGACTCCTGGGATGCAGACTTCACGGGCACCATTAGTTTTAGCTTTCACTCTTCCACAGAGACCGGACACTTTGGATGGGATTTCCCCTCCCTACAGACACTCCCATCTTCTGTCCAGTTTCCTCCTCAGGGCTGATTTTTAACCAGGTACGGAAATATAAACTATTACTATATATCTCGACCACTAACTTTTCAAAAAATTTTACTTTGCTCCTTTCCTGTAGAAAACCTGCTGAGGATGGAGCAGTGGGGAATCAGGCCTCTGGAGAGCATCAGGCCTTTGTAATAAATGCAGCCAAAGGGTCAGTGTCCAGCCACAATGAGCAAAATGAAATGGCAGAGAAGGCTGGAAGGTGGGCTCGAAGAGATTTTTCTTCTGGACACTTTTAGCAGACTTCAAAGAAAAATCCCAACCAAACTCAGATTTCCAAAGTCTTCCTAAAAAGTTCAAGATTAATAAAAGGCAGGATATTAAGGAATGCAGATAAGAAACAAAGGCTGAAGGTGGTTTGGCATTAGTTTTACATTCCCAAGGAATATTAACTATCACCTGGAAATAATTCTCAAAATTACAAAGTCATGATTACATAAATTACTTTGTCTCAATATACATGTTCTCTATTTACATAGTGTACAAAAGCTACTAAGTTGGCTCAGCTATAATTTGTCCAAAAAAGCAGGTGACATTGTTTTGGCTGCAGTGAAGCATGTTACTTACACATTTCAGTTCAGCTAACATATATACATTATAAAGCTTGAGCTTTAAAAGTATTCAAATCAAAAGGAAGAAATAAATTATACTTAAGCTATATAACACATATGCCTTTACTAACTAGAGATAGTCTCTTATCATCAGTTTCGTCAGCATTTCCTTATTCTAGCAGTTTATTTTTAAGACGCGTATCTGGGCCCGAAGTGCTGCGTCTCTCCTTTCAGGAGCACAGCCGTGCAGCACTGTCAGGAGCGTGGTGGTGAAGTTGAGGGCTGTTACTTTTCCAGCTAATTAACGAGGCGCCAGGTTTCCTATGGAGCACTTCTTTAACTGTACAGCAAATAGAAGAAAGAGATGACGAAAGCAAGCGAGAGCACTGTTAAGGAGAGCAGCAGCTGCTGGAACTGGATGCAACGCTGGAGTTGGTCTTCAAGCTTCCTAGTGCTTTCTAGTAAACGATTGAGCTAAAGAGGGGGGAAAGGATGGAAGATTTTTATCAGTAAAAACAGCACATGACTCAAGTGAATGACAAACAGGAATATTAGAAGTTCCACAAATGCAAATATTAGATATCAAACATTTGTTATGACCCCGAAAGACCGGAAGCTGGAACTATCGTGAGAAATTAGGTTTGGCGAACAGACGTGTATCTGCACATTCTTGCGTTGCAAAGGTCTAACTCTTCTAGCCGAGAAAGGAACCAGCTGCTGAGTCCCTGTCTTTTTCAGATTTAAGTGCACACAGGTACTTCTTCCATGAGACCAGATTCTTCGATACTCCCCAAAGTATCATGTGCTTTTCTATATGGTCCTGAGTCCAAATGACAATGGCCAAAGCTTTAAGAAAGTTAGGTTTCTGAAGGTAACGCATAGCTTGCCATCGCCATCCCTCCATAAAGAAGCTACAACTTCTGATTTTCTGTCGTGTTTTATGCCAAAGCGTTTCTTAATGTCAGCGGGGGAAAAAATGGGTCTTTAGTGTTGATTAGCATTAACAATTCTTATTTAAGAAAGAACACTTACTTGTAGATTTATATCTTCACTGGCTTTATCTGATATGTTAAAAGCATGGTCTTTTAATGTAAGAGTAGTTGGTTTACTGCTCTCAACAATGTGGCATCTTAACCTGTGAACATCCAAAGGAAACTACTTGTTACAATGTTTAATGAACTTATAGTACAGAAAGATGAAAAAAGTGAAACGCTTGGTGTATGTAACAGGAGGCAGAAGATTTGGTTTTCGCCCCAGATGGATATACCTAACCTCAGTGTGGACGGAGCAGAATATATCATTCCAAACTTTGCCTCTTTTCATAAGAATTATCTTGAGTTGGTTATTTAAGAAGCAGTAGACACTGAGAAATTACCCTTTTTATGGGACATTCATAAGGGAAGTCTCCATCATAAGAGTGCAGAGAGAGGGATGACTAAAGCCCTACAAACACTTTACCAAAGGAGAAGGCAGTGGCCTGAATCTGCATTAACAATCTTGCCTTTGTTTACTGAGCTTTGCTTCATAACTCCCATAACTGGGCACAATGCCCAACCCCTAGTATCATCTTTTGTCATTAGTGGAAGGTGTTATCTTAGGTAATGGCTTAGGCCATTTTGAGAAGCTACTGAAAACCTGGGAGTTGATCCTAGGTCTCTGGAGGTATACATAGCATTACACTTGTATTTCTCCTGTTAAGCTGTCTTTTAGTACAGAGGGTTCTCAGTTAAGAACCAAAAGCTTAGAGAGAAAATGATTTCCCCTGTTTTACAGGTGGAGACCAGCCATACTTTTGCTGGAGCCAGCAGACAGGGGAGACCCTTAGCCCAGGGTGGCCTGCCAGGTCTCAGGGTGCAGTGCCCAGTAGTCCAATTTTACTTTGACTCTCCCCTTCCAAACTTAGATTAGCAAGACAAGATTTGTGTCAAGTAGTTCTTGGGGGTATAGTGGCTTTGGTAAAGTATTTTGTCATGACCTCTATTTCCTACTGATTCTTTTTCCTTCCAGAGATGGACATTATTTTCTTCTCTGTATCCTCTGTCTTTAGGGGAAAGTAAATTTTCCTTTTATCTTGTTCTGTGTCTTGAGAGCATGAATTTGATACTAGTGAGGTAGTTTCCCTGGTCTCTAGCAGTCAGAAGATGCAGGGTTGGCACGCACGAGGCACCGCTGAATAGGCTAGGGATCTGAGATAGAATGTGTTGAGCCGCATACTCTTTGATTCACTGCGCCAGTTCTCAGGAGGGTGTGTTAGAAGGAGTTTCAGTCCCTAAGGGGTGTTTGTCACCTCAACCTTCGTCGTCAGTTCTGGAAAAGTCCCACTCCAGTAGTGTGCTGGCATCAGCTGATTTTCCCACCAGTCCACATCATCTTTTATGTATGGCTGTTGACTGTATTTAAGGTGGAGCCTTTGGCCGTTTCAACTTCAGAGTCGCTCACTTTACCTAGGGCTCACCTTTGTTCACAGGTGTACATGATACTGACTTTTCTCCTGTTAAATCTGTCTTTTACTAGGGATGGCAGGGTGGGTATCTCAGCCAAACTGGACTAGAGGGAAAATTTTTGCCTCCCCTGCATCGTTCTGCTTTTCTAGGCATCTATAAATAACACAAGCATTTACATATACTGCCCACAGTATTCAATGGGAAGTTTTCATATGGTATTCAGATCTTAATATTACCCCCCCAATTCCCCAATTGAGGAACTATCTCATAGGAGCTTCAAATTAACCTCCAGCATTTCTTACTACCAGTGTTCCTTAAGCTTTCAATGTTTCCACAGCCCTACCTTTGACATACACCTGGTAAACAAAAAGTAGGCATTCCTATAACTTGAAAATTTAAATATTTTATCACTCCCACTAAAAACAATTCAAGCTCAAACCCATCAGCTTTACACACACACACACACACACACACACACACACACACACACACACA